ATTCGCACACAGCTGCCGGGAACTCAAAGTTACTGAGACCAAAGCTGACTGTTTTGGTGCACATGCGCGACGGTAATGCCGTTGATGCATCACTAACGCCTGCATCCCGTTCCCTCATTGAACGCATCGCCGCCTTGCAGTCCCACGATCCAGCTCAACCGATCCCGGCTGCAGCTCCCGAAGACAACGTACCAACCAAGTCGCCAGCCTCGTCTGCTGAGTCTCTTGCTAATGCTGAGACTGAGTTGTCAGACACCCAGAGATGTCTACAGGTCGAAGGCCAGTCATCGCCAACAGAGCACTATGAGCGTATCGAAGTTCCACTTGTCTTTGATAGTGAGTTCTTTGACATTCTGCAGAGCGATGTCAACAACCTGGATGCACTTCAGGCAAAGGAAGAAAAGGCCATGGTGACGGAGATCGTTGCCTTGAGACAGGAGATTTCACATCTGACGAAACCCAGTCGCCTCTCCAAGAGCGACCTTGCGAGGTGGCGAGCCATTTTCGAGCTGTACCTCGACGCCCAGGTCTTCTTCTCAACCAACGAGCAAGACCACGGGTCCAGAACCAGTCAGACGGCTGCGAAGCAGCTCCAGTGGTTCCAAGAGGAAATCACAAAGAGGAATCTCGTCAAATCCTTCAAGATTGCCGAGAGTCGCGAAGCCCTGGTTCGCTTCTTAAGTCTTAACGCCGTTCTCCTCAAAAACTTGCAGTTCCAGGAAATCAACCAGGTTGCCATCTACAAAATTCTTAAGAGTGAGCCTCGCCCCTTATCAATATCGTTTTCAATCTAGTTTGATTTGTGCAAGAGAAGCTGATTCACGGCAGAATTCGACAAACGTACCTGCCTAGGTGTTTCGAAATCCTTTCCAATTCAAGTCCACTCCGACAAGCTGCTGGCCGACTCCGTGGCGAAAGACATTTGCGCCCAAATGTCCACCGATTTAGTGTCAGTCGTACCGCAGATTAGTGATTATTTGTGTCCAATCTGCTTCGCTATTGCCTATAGGCCTGTCCGGCTAGCCTGCCAACATATATTTTGCATCCGGTGCATTGTCAAGATCCAAAGGCGGAACGAGAAGCACTGCCCTTTGTGTAGAGCAGACACCGTCATGAGGGCGTCCGCGGGTGAGTAGACCTAGTTTGCTGATGCAAAGTGCACACTGACTCACACTAATGATTGCAGATAATCTGGATATCCAACTAGAGAGATACATGCGCAAGTACTTCCCCAAGGAGGCCAAGGAGAAGCAGCGAGCCAACGAGATTGAACGAGGCATTGAGGACTATGGTCCTGAGTACGTGCACTCTGAATGCTCTGTTATGTAGATACTGTCGTGTTTTATTTTCTTCTTCTTTGCTTTCCTATAGATTTCTTAGAGATACCCTTGCCGGTTGTAGGTTGAGCTTTCGGTTGCAACGAGACTTGAATGTGGGAGATTCTTGTGGTCGTTGCTGGCGAGCACCTCTTCGTTACTCTCCAGATTCTTGTCACCTTTTGGCTTCCGCGTGCCTCCGCATCCAGCTACCCATTAATGCTCCAGTCCTACTAAGTTTACTGTGCAACTCAATCATCTTGTGACTTTTCGACTGCTCGAAGAGCACTGGTGAAAATCTTTTGCAGCTCATCCGTCTCCTCCAGGCCGACACTGACGCGGATGAGGTCCGGATCAACACCCAGACCAGCGGCCCAGTCGAGCTCTTGGTAATGGGCCAGCAGTACATAAGGCGATGTCAGAGTAAAGTTCGTACCCAGACTTGGGCCCTTAGCCGTCTCAATGGCGTCGAAGAAGGCAATGGCGTGGGCCGTCTTGTGAAACGTGACCGACAGAAGCCCGCCATAACCCCCACCAGGCAATTTGCAGAGATCGTAGTTGGTTCTCGTCGGATTTACTCTCGGGTAGTAAACACATTTTACCAGCGGATGGGCCGAGAGGATGTCGCAAATTGTCTCGGAACTCTCGTTGATGCGCTCAATACGCGATGCAAAGTCGCGGCTGTTACGCTCCATGAAAACGACGTCCTCTGGCCAGTACGTATCTTCCAGATCCTCGATCCAAGCACCCTTCAGGGCCTGATAGTACTTGCCGCTTGGATTAAGGATGGCACTGCCGCCCATGACGTTGCAGTCGCCCGAGAATATCTTGGTCAGACTGCTTACGACTATGTCTGCGTATTGTAGCACGTCAATGTTGATGAAGCTACCGATGGTCTCGTCCACAACGACGCCGAAATCGTACTTGTCTGCGAGGGTACGGATCCGCGCCAAGTTGGGGCAAGTTAGGAGAGGATTGCCGGGAAATTCACAAAAGAGCGCCAGGAAGCGCTCGCCACTCTCTAGGCGCTTTTCGAGATCGTCAAGATCATCCTCTGAAGCGCGCCCATAGAAGAGACAGCCGGGACCAAACTTCTGTAGGATCTTGAGCGTATCGACGTAGGGGAAGCCAAAATTGACAGATTGGAGGTCGCCCCTAGCGCGCAGCATGGCCCGGTGAGCGTTGTAGATGGCATTCATGCCACATGGAAACAAGTATACGTCGCTTTCTTGCAGGTCCTTTTGGTTTCTCGCGTTTTCTCCCATGGGAGGCAGTGAGCTGATGCTGGCCTCCATGTCGGCAGCCATGGCACCCGCAATTCTACGCTTAATGGCCGACCTGGCGCGCTCGACGAGGGACAGGTCGAGGTTACGGCCAAAGCGTTCCTCGAGAAAGCGTAGGCTTTCTTGCGTTTCAAACGCACTCTGGGGGTTCACCTTGGCTGCTGGGTGGTGAGCCGTCTTGGTGTCGTCGATGGAAGATGGGCGATGGTATCTCTTCGGACCTCTGTGGGCTTTTCCCACTGGGGAGTTGGGCCTTGCCACGGGAACGAAGAGGCCCTCCTTCAATAGACCATGGCAGAACTCCGCTCTTCGGCTTGAGATTCCGTCTCCTGTATGCTGCCAGTACTGCTTGGCAAAGGGGAATACCTCGGGGGCATACACCACGGCAGAGACAGTGGGTGACAGGGAGCGCAGGAGCGGTGAGATATCCTTGGTCATGTCGAGCCCGAAATCAATGACGGTGGCACCGGCAGAAATTGAGGCATCTGCATGTTTCTTTACAAAGGCCAGGCACCTTCTCGCAATACGAGGGGTGGGAAACAACATGGCTTTCTGACCCGAAGGGCCATGTTGGGCAATCAGATCTTCAGCCAAGGCTACAATGCTCCTATGAATGAAGAATCTTGACAGAAAAATAGTCTCAGCCGGGAACAAAGAGTTGACAAGGAAGAAGAGGCTTACCTGGGGTAACCGGTGGTCATCTTATCGACGACCCATGATTCTCCCTCTTCGTAGCCGACATTTGCCTTCCACGTAGGAAGCTGAACGCTCACTGCCTACGCGGGCTGTTAGCAACGACGTCACACATGGCTCTGAACAAGGAAAGGGAACCACATGGAAGTGGCTTCGGCGTACATGAGCAGTGTCTGGCGGGATGGACTGTCCCAATTCCAGAGCGGGCATTGTGACAATTTTGACTTGTGCTTTTTATCTACGTGAACTGTACAATGTGTTAGACCTCATTTAAAGGCGTGTGTGTTATGACCAGTGATCGACTTGCTCTGTATTTCACCGAGGTGATGTGGTGTGGGCTTTTATGCGTCGTTGATCTGTATGAGAATGAGATGAGTCAAGTAGGCTGGAGTTTGAATTGGACAAGATGTGGGTCAAGGCCGGTGCAGAGGTGGCTAAAGTAGGTAAGGTATCACGCAAGAGCCCTCCACTCGTACAGTTTTCTTTCTTTCTTTCTTTCTCCCTCTCTCTCTCCTTCTCTCTCCCGCACTCACTAGTATTGTTTATCTCTGACTCTCCCTCTTTCCATGTGTGGGATCGCACTGGGATTTCAAGTAGTGTAGAATGGTGGCCCTGCCCAGTAGTTGTCGATGAAAATATGCTGTCAATTGCGAATCTCATCAGATTTACCTCCAGTGTCCATGTCCCCGGTTTGCCGGCACTTGACTCGATGTGGGTGATTAGAAGTCAGTATCCGTAGAAATCTGCCAAATCCCCAAAGGATAACTTTTAGTGGAGCGACGTGGGATTGAGAGTCTGTGACTGGTAATTGTTGGTCTATGCCGTGGCATGCGGGGCGCCGAGGATCGGAGTGATGCCCCGCGAGGGGCATTTTATTCGTCTCTACCTGCTGTCTCTCTACCTTACGCAATACGGATACCTACATATAGTACCTTTCTAACATACCTAGGACCTCAGACCCAAAGCCCAAATATTTGAACTTCTTGAAAGTAAGGTAAGTGAATTTGGGCATCTACGACGTGATATCTACCAAGCGAAAGGTATCATAGCAGACCCAAAAACAGAATTGGTTTCCCTCGAGCCCTCACCTCAAGCCTCAAGCCCCAAGCCCCAAACAGACAGCATTAAGATATCGGATGATACTATTGGTGACGGTGATAACCAAACAGTCCATAGCTTTGGTCCAGCCTGTCATCTAACTAGACTATCCATTAATCGAGAGCTGAGGAACACTAGTCGACACCGGTCTAGCATTTCCACAAACTTGGCCCAAGACACGAAAACACCTACACGCATTCAAGAACTTGGTAGACCTCCGTGGAAGCCCATGTCAGCGAGATCAGCCTTGTGAAGAGCTTTTTCTAGTATCTATCTCAGCGTTGAGCAATCCCCAAGCAAGCAAAAGTATCTCAACATGACTCCCATATGTCACAATCATTTCCGTATTGCCCCGGCTTCAGCCTCATCTGGTCGTCATCATCCTTTGTAAATAGAACAACTGCCATGCCATGCATCCGTATCCGTGCCTAAATCGTAAAAGCCAGCCTTTTAATAAGAAAAATATGTTGCAATAACATCGGCACTCGTTCTGTGCGGCCGAGTAATCTGTTGATAATTTTGAGTCGCTCGACATTGGAGGTCTTGCCAGCCCCGATAGCTGTATCAAAACGTTCCGGTGGAAGACAATCCACTGCATTTCTCCATCTTGTTAATGATACTGACGCCTGCTGGTCTTGCTGCCGATACAGCTGATACTATCACTTGGTGCTACGCTGATGGCGTCATCTTCCCAGGCACTACGACCACTGTCAATGCGGCTCTTTGGCGGAGGAGGGCCGCGTGCCGACACATAGGTCGGTGCTCGCGTGGCAGGGGGGTAGGCGAAGACGGGTTGAGTGTTTCGAACCGCCGTTGGAGCTCTACTTGGAGCTCTGGTTGGAGCTCTGCTCGGTGCTCTGCTGGGTGCCTTGCTAGGGACAACAGTAGCCGGCGCCGCCTGAGTGGGTGCCATGCTCGGGGCTCGGCTGGGTGCCACAGTAGGAGCTCTGCTACGCACAACAGTCGGTGGCCTGCTAGGCGCCCTGCTCGGCGCCTTGGTGGGTGCGCGGCTCGGGACGAGGCTGGGGGCCATAGTCGGCGCGCGACTGGGTGCACGGCTAGGTGCTTGACTCCGCCCGCCCAATATCGTCTCAACAGTGGGCGGGGGTGGACGGATGGTGGATTGAGACCTCCCGCTTCGGGCTGAGACGTAGGTTCCAGCATCGTCAACGATGGTGCGGGGCACGGCCGACCTGCTGGCCATGCTGTGTCTTGAGCCTGCGTTACTTTGGTGCTCGTAATCAGTGAGCATAAGGGGGGCGGTTCGGGGAACAGCGGCTTGGCTGCGAGAACGAACACTGCTGCCTCTTTCGAGCTGATAGCGAGACGAGTGCCGGCTGCGGGTGTCGTCGTACAGGTCATCTGCGGCACGGCTTCGAGCGCCGACCTGGCTGTACTTGGCCATGTACTGGGGAGGTGCTCGGTTGTCCGATAGTGCCGGGTAAGCCTCTGGGTACCGGATCTTCTCGACGGTCCTCTCGACTTCGACATAACGTCCGGCCTGCGGATCGGTATATTGATCGGGGAAGGTGGAACGGCGTTGAAACGGAGGGGCGGCTCCGGAGCCATCAAACTCCTGGCGCGGAGCTCGTGCACGTTCCTTGCGCATCATTCCGTAGGTGACGGCAGCGCCGGCGGCGGCACCAACAGCTGCACCTAAAAGACTTCCGACAAGGGTGTTTGTAGCGATGCCACCGCTCGATGGAGAGGGCTGAGATGGGATTTCGTCTCTTTTGGTTGGCGATTCGATGACCGAGGTGGTGACGCTTCGACGAAGCATTGTGTAAGGAGGTTCGTTACCGGGAAATGACCCAGAGCGAGCGGCCATGGCGAAGACTGATGAAAAGGTGCCGGCAGTAGCGGAACCGGAAACAGAAGGCGGCGGGGGGGGCTCGGATGCTGCAACGTCGTAATTCCAATCCAGAATACGGCCAGCCTCCTCCGTGGTAGACTGTGTCTTTCGAACAGTAGAGCCAGCGTAGGAGGGAGGATAGTTGGGAGGGGGTTGATATACAACTTCCATGGTGTTACCGTCCAAGTCGGTCACAGTAGCCCGGTGGATATCGCCACTTTGAGTGATTAAAGCGGGACGAGTGAAGTGATCAGCCGGGACGCTGGACAGCAGGTTCGGATTGGCCCGGACGGCAAAGGCGTGGAAGTCGGTGACAGCGGTGGGGGAGGGAGCAGAAAAGACGGCGCGAGAGAGCTTCAGGGGCTCGCTGGAATTGCGGGCCTCGCGGATCTGGAAAATGGGGGTGAGCGGGGACAGTATACCGTATGTGACGGTGCTGGGAAGTCTGCCAGGACCTGAAGTGGTGATGGCCGTCTTGGAGTCGGTGTCGGCGCCTTCGTTGGCGCTGGCGTTGGCGTCCGGGGGAGCGGTCTGGGAATCCGTAGATATATAGTGGATGCCCAGAGATTGAAAAATGGCGGAGTAGAAGGACGTTGAGGAGGGAAGATGGGAGACGTCAAAGTAGGGAGTCATTTGGGGCGGTTGGTAGTAAAGGGCCGGTCCTGATGACTAGATAGGGCGGCTGTTTGAGGTGAGAGTGAAGCGAAGCGAAGAGCTAGGTAACAGGTCGAGAATAGTTTCGTGTAAGTGCCGTTGCGCTTCCGCGGACGCGAGGGGGGGGGGGGGGGGGGGGGGGGGGAGGGGGGGCGGGGGGGGGGGGGGGGGGGGGCAGGGGGGGGAGGGGGGGGGTGTGGGGGTGGGGGGGGGGGGGGGGGGGGGGGGGGGGGGGGGGGGGGGGGGGGGGGGGGCAGAGGCGCAGACAGGCGACTCAAGCTAAGTAGGCTTGGTGGCAGCCTCGTTGATTTGTGCGTTCCTCGAGGTGGTTGCAAAGAAAATTCCGAGTGAAACTATCCAGGGCAACCTATTGATGATGGTGTGTAGGTTTATGGTGGTGCACTGGTGATGGTGGTAGTGCTAGTGGGTGATTTGGTAAGGTATTGACAGGCAGGCAGCGTAGCACCGAGACAAATACCAGAATGCTAATGACAACAAGAAAGGGGAATCAACCTCAAGCATGCCAGGTCCCGACTCCTGCGTGAAAGGAAATGCTTAAAAGAGATACTTCTTAGTCTGGGGGGGGGGGGGGGAAGAGGGCACGCGCAACCGACATAAACCAAGCTGTGAGAGGGTCAAGACTCAAGCAAGTCTGCCCGCACATATGTGTCTTATGTACCTACTCCCGTCGGTACCTACCTACCTAGATACCTTGCAACGTCTCTGGCAACTCACCCACCTGCAACTATGTACAAGACCTACTTTACCTGGGAGGTGAATATTGGCAGCCATACGGAAGCCAGTACTTTGTCTTCAGGGTACGGCGTGCCTAGGTAGGGTATCATCAGCGGCACATCCATCACTCCAGTAGCACGGGGCCGCCATAAACTGACAGCTTGTCCCTGCTGCTGAGCCCAACCTACCTTACCTTGAGGCAGCTTAACGGAAACCCCACTCGCAAGTCGGTAAGGAGTCGCACTTTTCGTCCAGTGCCTTCTGGCCAAATCCAATATGCAGCCAGCCCGTTCCGGACGAGCCCAGTGTAGCTGCGATGGTGTGTGGTGAACTGCAGCTAGTGGCCGGTGATGCAGGTGGCATGTCCACATTGCGCCGGGACATCCAGCCGGAGACCTCAGACGGGCCACGGAAGCATAGGGCGGACCACTTGATCTTTTTCGGCGCCTATGAAAGATGAGGCTATCCTAACGCCGCGCCAGCCAGTTTAGCATAGCCTGTACAGAGTACAGGTGTACGGATGCCAACTACGTGTAATTTGCCCCATCCTTCAGATACCAGCATTCATTCCCTCATTCTGAAGGGCGACTGACTGGTGTCATTGGGACCGTGGTCAGGCCCAGCCGCCCAACGATGTACATACAACCGGCCACAGGCAAGCGCCGCTTGGTATCGGGAGCTGGAGCTGGGGCTGGGGCTAGAGCCGGGCTACGTGTACGAATACCTGGCAGAACCGAGGAACGAGAAGTCAAATGGTGCTTCAGGTGGGTAGATCATCCTGCAGGCAGCAACGGCTGCCGCATCTCACGATCTGGATCGTGTCGGGAGCATGGTCGTCAATGTGTGGTCTGTATGATGTTGATACGGGTCCTAGTCTCAGTCTCAGTCTTAGTCCGGAGTATTCTTGCGGATAGTGGCACTGGAGCGTTTGATCGTTTCGTCGTGTCCGGCTACTATTCGTCTCTTCAAGCCCCGCCTTGGCCTTTGTTGCTGCAGACTCATTTGTCGTGCCCTGAGTTAAACCAGGATGAGAGTAGCCACCCTCTCGGGACCGCTAGAGAGATGGATCAAGATTGCAGGTATCCGTAGAATCCTTGGTCCAGACGAAAGCTGGAGGCGGTGGGAGCACTTGTGGGAGAGGAAAAACATGAAGAGAGAAGGGAGAAAAGGAAGCCTCCTCGAATGCTATTAGCGACCCATGCTACAAAGGGTTCCATTTGGTATTGGAAATATCCAAGACTGTCTTTCGGGTAATATGTGAGCTAAACCGGCCGAGAAATGCCGCACTGCAGATTATCCAACCCTGGGGAACGAAAGGCGGTCGTCAGAAATCACTTGGTATAAAAGTCGCGTCTATAACTACTGTCATTGGACGGACTGGACGCACGAGTGCGCGGGAGTCCCGTCGGAAGCGTTTGCGGCTTCCAAGTGGTCCGCTGGAAGCAGCACCTCAGTACATAAGGTTCCTTAGGTAGGTAGGTACCTTGGTCCTTGGGTATGAAAAAGCCGCTCGTTGCGCGCGGTCCAAATGAGAAGCAGCTGCCATACTCTGGAAGACGAAGTGAGCGTGGTAAAGTACCTCGGGTATCCATCCACACATCAAAGTGCAAACTAAGGCACATTAAGGTATCTCTTGTATGATAAATTAATAGAAGCTACCTCATTATCCGCTCCACGTTTCCTGTCTCCCACCTCACTGTCCCAAGTTGCTTGACCTGGATTTCCTCGATACCAAATGTCCCTTGACCTAAGGTATTGCCTCACCTAGCAGGCACGGTACCTACCATCTCTTGGGAAAGTCTCTGTGCTCTGCAAATGTACTTTCCAATTTCGCATCTGTCTGTAACTCACCGCATCCACCCCCCCTTCCACCACGTCGCAGCTTGCCAGGCTTTTTCGCGGCTTTGCCTTCCTTGACCGACTTGTCCTGACGTGCTGTATTCTCTATGAGTCTCCATCTTTCGTATGGATATCAAATCCTACAATGAGGTGGTGGTTTGCGCCGTTCCATCTCCGAATACAGATATCCTCTCCACTTTGCCTGGGCACCATAGCTGCCAGCATGGTGCACCCAGCCTCGCACTTTCTAGCTCGCGTGCTTCCAGATCCATCAACTTGTCACGAGATTGTGAGCTGGCCATGCCACCCATTGTCGGATTTCAGCATGTTCAAGTCTCAACCCCCATACCAGAAGGGCACTAATGCAACTATGCGTCCACCTTGCCTGCTGCCCAACCTCCCACCAGCTTGAGTCCCCGGGTCCCCGACATGTTTTGTGAGCTCAGTACGGAGGATTCAGGACAAATGCGCATATCCATCCGTATGGACGCATACATATCTCCTCCCAGCCAGTCGGGCACATCGGTCCGCGCCGCCCTGTTCCACGCGCCCCCAACCTACCCCCTGCTTTTGTCAACTTTGCCCGTCGATTCTATCACATTCGAACCGTCAAGTGGTAATGCGGTGTACACACCAGCCCAGTCTGACTCCCTCACATGCACACGCGGGGCAGTTCCATGCATGGTAAGGCGAACGAGCCTCACTATTGTCGCGTCCCTCTTCGTCCCTGAGCAGACTGAGGTGACCAACAAACACTTCATTTTGCCTTCCATGCCGTAGTCCACTCAGGCATCAATGACAAGCCAAATCACAAACTCAACCGTTGCCCGACACTGTTTTTTCCCATCTTTCGTTCAACCGCACCTATCTATGCTCATCAGTCCAGCACCTTCTTGGCAATCCATGAGTCTATGCGGCAGTCTTTCGTCTTTCCTTTTCGTCTAGGATGCCTTCAACACCTAATTAAGGAAGTTAGACAGAAACACGCGGCTTCGTACCGCAGTACATTCACAGGCACACACGCATTTGGATCAGATTCATAGTAAACGGCATCTTGATTTCTTAACCCAACAAACACGGTAGATACATTGTCTTTCTGACTGGCCTCCAAGTATGAGGCCTTGCAACACCTATCCGCGTAGCCGCTAGTATCCAGCTATACACCATTAGTCCTTGAAACGTCGTCCTTGTTTTCCTTTTCCTTTTCCTTTTTTTTTTTTTGGTATGCTCCCCAGCGACACCGCTGAGCGTTTGGTCGCAATGTACCCTTGTTCATGTGCAAATCAAAGGGTGGCCCATTTTGTCACGGCACTTGCCGAGAGCACGAAGATATTACTCTAACAGTAGCCAAGGCCGCCACCCCTATATGATCCTGAGTAAGGGGCAAACAAAAAGAAACAACAACTTAGGTTGAAGTTGAACTGTCAAGGCGGAGAAAGCGCCTTGGACCCGTTGTCGAACGCCCCGGTTTTGGTTGCAAAAACAGCGACAGCGATGGCACAGGTAACCCAAGTTTCCGAGATCGCGCGCGGACACCATGATGTTGTATCGTGATTCCGTAGGCGCAACCCCTCGACTTTCAATTTGCCGCTCTGGGGCGCATTTCGCACCTCCAAGCGCCTGGGGGCCACCACTTACATTGCCGCTCTGATTCGCCATCGCTGCTGCCTGGATTCGTGTCCCCGCAACGTGAACGACTGAGTAGATGTCGGGTTTCGACTACTGAATGTCCCAGGAATCCTCAGCAGCGTGGCAAAACTTGCTGCAAGCAACGCTGGCGGACAAGCTGTAGTTGCTGATGGAAATCTTCTCGTCGACGAGGCCATCAGCAAAGGTATCGGCACCCTTTGCCATGGCACCAACGAAGACGCAAACACTCTCCTTGGGGGCGAGAGTGTCGATGTAGTCTCTGACGTGTACCAGAGGGGCCTCGAAACTGAGCGTCACCTTGCGGCAGTTGGGCGGAAGGTGATCGGTGATGGGATTCTGGATTACACGAAGCAGCTTCTCCTGCGAGTTGGTCGAGCGGATGGACAGGCGATGCAGCAGCTGAACCATCAGACCGGCAAAGCGCTTGAATGTACGCGGGATGCGAACAGACGGCGAGACCTCGATCAAGACACCCTTGGCGGTATGAATGTAGATCTGAAGCTTGCCGGCCTTGTTGATGGGGGAGTCGAGCAGGGTCAGGAGGCACTAGTCAGTATGGTCAGCATGTTGAATGCAGACACGGCGGGCTAGGCGCGTTGAGGCGCAAAAGCAGTAGCACAAGCAAGGGCAAGAGCAAAAGCAAAAGCAAAAGCAGTTCGCTGGTAGTATCCAACCTGATGTGTAATATCCGGGCGCGCGTCACTAATGTCGCGGTTCATCTTGCGCATAACTCCAATATGCTCGTCGCTGTTGAG